CCTTTCGCGTCACCTACATCGTGTCGTCCTTCCCCCGTCGCCACCTGTGCCGATTCCCAGTCCCCGTTCCATTCGACATCCGACTGAACCGCGGTGGACGCAATCCGTCCCTGGCCTTTTTTTCCCCAGTCGTCGCGGGTGTCGCCAGTTCCCCATTTTTCGACCCGATTCATCCCCAGCCTTTTTTTCGGCACTTATCGTGAGTGCCGCCGACTGCCCCGACATCCCGGCAAATCCAGGTCGACAACATATTCCTCTTCGCCCCGCGCGTCGGCATTTCACCGGCCCTCGCCCTGAGTTCCACCGGTTCCCCCTTGGCCGCTGCGGCGCTGCCCGTAAGCGGTTCCGCACGGAGGCGCCCGGTTTCTGTTGGGCCCCATGAGAGGACCGCTGTTTCCTTTAGTAGTCTAGGGAAACTTACGCCGACTCTTGAGGTCTATATAAGTAAGCTTTGACCCTTGACACTCAACATACAACCATGGAAACCCTCAGGGAGCCGCATTGTTGGTATGTTTGGTGCATTTCAAAGGATTGTATAAGTATCTGCTTCCAAGAGGAAGCAAACTACAGACTGGCAATGCTGTAAGGAGAAAAGTGATGCGAATCTGGTAGGGGACTCCACGGATCACCGCAGTGGGAGTGTAGAAGTTGTTCAAAAAAGGGAACGGGAACGGATCAGAAAAGGAGTTGACGGAGGGATTGTGTTTTGTTAATATGGTGTGCAGTGTGCACTCTATTGAATGATGCAATTTTTGGTTAAAAAGGGCTTCTGGTTTTCTTATAAATAGCATTAAAAAAACGTTGAAATTTTGGGTCTCCGTTAACCGCCTCTCGATTGTGGACAATGGGAAAGGAGCAACGGGAACGGATCAGAAAACTGTCGCAGAGACAAAAAAGAAATGAAAAGGACAAAGGAGAACAATAACTATAGTATCAGATTCCCCCGGGCACGACAAGGGAAAGTGTGCGGAGTACATCGTAATTTGTGATCGTTTCACTCGCTGGTGGAAATGGAACCGGACTAATGCTCTCCGGAATAGAGCTGTCAGCCATAAGCCGGCAATTAAAAATCTACAGCGAATCTACGGATGAGGGAATGGTTGCAGTATTGCAGAGACAGCAAAGTTTAGACCCTAGAACATTACAAAGCAAGAGGATGCGCTGGACCCGGTTTCCAGCAGGTGCAGCTCACCACCAATAGATGGAGCCTCCCCGACGGTGCTAGATGTGTTTGCTCTTATCAGCACACCTAGCATCCAATCGGGTTGTTTTTAAAAAAAAAAACAAAGGAAAAAAAAAAGAAAAAAAACAAACAAAGCAAGAGGATGCAGATGAGAAGGTGCAAGAAAGGGGAACTGTGGCCATATGGGTTGACGACTAGTTCGTATAAACCTAACATATTCCCCAAACATACAATGCACCTTCATCATGACCGTATGGGACGATGGATAGCTTGCATAGAATCATTATCAGGGTGCATTGTGTTAGTAGCGAGAGGGTAGGCGGCCTTTACGAGCCAAGAGAGCACAAGGCAAAAAGATAGCCCCTAACTGCAGACCGGAAAGTCTGCAGCTGAAAGGGCGCACCGGAGACCGAAAAGTCTGCGACTCGGAGGAAAGCAGTAAGCGACAGCAGCAGCTTCAGCAACAAAGAGTCCTAGTCCAAGGCAGAAGGTTTAGAAGACTAAATGAGGAAGACAAGGAACCAGAACTGATAAAATCGCTTGGAAACTCCAGGGGCACACTACCGTCTTCACCCGAAAATAACGCCGGGGCATTATATTCAATTCAACTTACCCTAAGAAATCAGATTTTCGTTTTTACTTTTTTTTCGAATATAACACCGCGTCACATATAACGCCCCAGTGTTGTTGTATGGCCAAAAACTGACGGGGCATTGTATTTGAATATAACGTCCGGGCGTTATATTTGAATGAAGCATGGGCAGAGTGCCTTGTAGAGGAGAGGGGAGGCCCCAATGAGTTCCATTTAAAAAAAAAAAAAAAAAAAAAAAAAAAAAAAAAAAAAAAAAAAAAA